AATCGTTGTGTTGAATAGAGCATAAAATGGGTTGATCAGATGATTGGCTTTCTGGTTCCAAGCATACGAACCGCTGCGGACAGCAAGACTTCCAGAACTCAGCCATTCCTCGATGAAGCCCTATGATACACGGGCCGAAATATCTATACTAATCAATCATCTGTATTAATAAGTCGTGTTCTATGCTTTTTCGGTGTCAATCGATGTTTCGTTTTATGAATGGAAAATCTTCCTACTCTATCCTCGATACATCGAGTTCCAAGGTTTTCTAAATTTTAAGAACTCTGAAATTATAAGTTTAGAATTTTTCATATTGTATCCCAGCAACTCGTACTATTTCCTTTTGTTAGGTCATGCAACTGCAAGGTTTATAGAGTTCGAAGTGAACTATTTGAAACTTAACTTTCTGCAACTGAAATTTTCTAAACTCCTTTTTAATCGAGTTTCTCCGGTGTGCATGAAGAGTGGTGCACATCAGCTTATAATAATTATCAGTTTGATCATGTACCTATAAAATATTTATTGTAGTCAAGCATTTAGTAACTTTCTAAATATTCGTATTTCTGTCTGGCCGAGGTACAGACGTTATGTGGTCGCTCCTTCTAGATGCTTAAGAAGCAAATTAATAAGCAACATCTTTATGATCTCTTGACATTTGTGACGCATCGGTGTATTTGGCAGCATTTTTTGCTGGAGCAGTGCGATGTTTCTGGAGTCCAATCTTTCTGCCGACAGCCGGGAGTTGTTCTTATGCACTTTGAAAATAACACCAGGTGTGTTCGTATGCTGAGAATTTCATGGATATGAGAAAATTTTAAACACTCTCCGGCTTGCAAGCTTGGCGTTTGCACGTGACTGTTGTGAGTTATGAGTGTAGTAACGTCTAATCTGGCAGCTTACTATTTTCAGCACAATGACAGCAGCTGTGGAAGCATCAGGCGATACGCTAGATTCTGAAGAATACAAGGATCGACCGCTACAAACTTATTACTGTTTGTGCGGTCAGATGGCGTTGATTTTAGGTGCGTATTTTTTAAAATGACTATGCAGAGGCTGCGAGATAATTTTTTACTTCATTAATTTAAAAGCTAACATTATTATTGAATTTTATGTGCTCGCTATGACTGAAATTATGTACCTGTCTGCAAAGGATCTATTTGGAGAGTGGTACCTATCATTCAGCAGTAATTGCATTGAAGCACTGAATTTCTGCCACATTGCCTTTCTTTAACTTCCTTTTGTTCTGATCACAGTGTGTCACGTTATGTTCTCCTTGTTCATATCATCGTTATTTTATTACGAACGCCTTAAGGTGATTTACAGCACTGATCTGTTAGTGTATATACATCATATGTCTTTTTCGATCCACTTTGAACGGCTTTCCTAGACGGCCGTAAACTTCTGTTTTCTGTTATACTTATCCATCTTAATCTAATGAATATCTTCAGATCGTTCTGTCGATTTGGAGATCTTCCAATTTATTGTTTGCTTTCTGTTGGAATCCAGTCGCTCTGATCCTGCAGTGGCCAATTCTTCTTGGAACGTGTGCCACTTCAATTTCTTCACCAGAGCAGTGCAATCGCAGACTCTTGTTTGTGCTCCTACCCTATCATTCGTATGCCAATTTTTTCTGGTTGTCCCGAGCATGCATCTTTTGATGCTGCGTTACGTATGCTGCAATGTATGAGTAACTTTTATGCTTTCGGCTTACGTTTCGCATCCATATGTTAGCACTGAGGGCACATACTGATCGAAAATTTTCCATTTCAAGCATTAAGGCAGTTGTGCTTGAACGTTTTTGATTTTCTAAAAGTCATCCATAGTATTTTTGTTCTTCAGCTGAGTTCACACACTCGCTTCTTCGTTTTAGAGATGAATTGTCTCATATAGACATGGATTTATACCTTCAAGCGTAATTTCATTGAT